GGGTCTCAGGGCGTTTGGGCGAGGGAGACCTTTCGGATGTGAGGGGACCTAGAAAAATGCGAATTTGGTTACCTTACGCTTTATTCGGCCAGTGATGGTAGTGGGGGCGGTGCAGAAATCGGGTGATGGTTGGATCTCGGCCCAACGTGGCTGAAGAATACCGAGGTTGGCAGCTCGGGCGGGATGACGGGCGGTAGTGCTGCTCTAGACGGTGATCGGGCGGTCGCCAGGAAGGGAAGCGATTCTTGCAGCGTTGGTGGCAGTGATGGATGCGACGATGGTAGCGGCTATGGACCCAGCGCTCAACTGCGCTTGTTCACTATTCGGCGTCGTCGACCGCCGACGCTGTACCATGAGTGATGATAGCCTGGTGGATAGCGAACCAGCAGGGCGTGTTCTTGAACCGCCGGGAAGCCTGGCTACGGCGATGTGACCTTGGTTGTGGGGTCGCCCGGAGCCAGCAGAGGCCGACGCGGCCACACTGGTCGAATTGCTCCTGGAACTAACAGCCCGCGCTTTCACGGCAACGAGAGGCCAATTCTTGCTAGGCGCTTCGGTGACGACCCGACAAGCACAGTTGCTGAATCACTTTTTGTCGAAACGGGGGTTTTGATCCCGAAAACGTCTGGCTTTTCGCCAAATTTCATTCGTCCTCGGCAGAGGCTCGTCACTTACTGACTCGTCGCTCAGTCGGGATCTCTCTCCTCCGTTCTGCTTCGGCCAGTCGTTTGCGATCCTCTCCATCCGCCCACGATCGTAGGTAGCGTAGAGCACTATCAGCTACCTACTGCTATCAGACGACACACGCGATCCACACCGTCGGGCGTTGATCGCCCCCACTTCAAATCGACCGTTAGCTACACTAACAATTTTATTTACCCTACTCCCCACATCTAATGATGGAAAACAAAATGTTACCCGCCGGTAACATATCCCCCTCCGGTCAGGGAAAAAAGAAGCGTATACAATGGTTCTTTTTCTGTTCACTCTAAATACTTAACTGAAAAGAATACTTCTGCTATTATGGCGTACAATCGAGGTCAAACTCGGGGAAGAGATATGGACGGAACACCTCCTGCTCGGACCAACAATAATAATCGTCGAGCGCTATCGCGTCGGGATTACGAACGAATGAATACGTTCAATGAGAGTAGAAATACCGACACTGGAGACCAGTGGGAAAGGATTGCTGAGCCAGGCACTAAGCTCCAAGCTAGTGAGCCAAAATGGCGTCAAAACCAGCGAAAGAATCCAAAGCAAAAGGGACCAGGTAAACCAGCTGAGAAAATACCTGGCCGTTCTACTACTCAGACAGAGCCTCAGGATGAGGACTTATACACAGGAGAAGTCTTGGGTGCAGTCCCGGTTCGGCATACAGTGTGCCAGAACTACGATTTTGCCAGTTTTTCGACTGTACTCCGTGCAACATACGACCACTCGCGCACCTTGGAATCGCGTTTGGACCAAATGTGCCCGTTCCCTGTGTTCCAACATTCCATGGCCGTTTTATTGAATGCTAGAATCATGTCCATTCAGAGGAATGATCTAGCCCATCCATCCTTGACGAATAAGCAGGATGCACTGGAGGCTATCCGTGCGAAGGATATGCTTATTCCAAAGCCAATTTTCGAATACCTAAATTCCATTGGCCAGACACTGACTCCAACCGGAGACAAAGTGTTTTTGAACCTGCCGTCGGTCTCGATACCACAGGGGCCCATCGAGGATACGTGCAGCAGCGGTACGTTTGGACAGATTACCGCTGAAAACCACAATGTTTATGAGGCGAATTGGAGCCCATACGTAACGAAAGGATTTATTAATGCCACGTTACATTTTAACCAGGAAGGAGGAGCAGCCAATTGGATCCCACTCCCTGAAGCTTGGATCCCCGAAGGAGGGGTTGCAAATGAAAACTTGTTGGGATGGCAACCAACTAATTTAGTACATAGGAATGGATTAGCGAGGATGCGCGAATGTAGTTTCGCTAATGACGCAACGACAGCTGGAACGTTGTGCTACAGTCCTGAAGCATCAGCCCTTACATCTGAAGTGTGGTCCCAGATTAAGGGTGTTAAGACCGTAAATGCAGTTTTCGAGCATAAGGAGAACAGCCAAGACCCCAAGCTACTGGTCTAGAGCCGACGGTAGCTTCCAGGGTGGGCACACAAAGCCACAAAGGTTCCGGGTCTCAGGGCGTTTGGGCGAGGGAGACCTTTCGGATGTGAGGGGACCTAGAAAAATGCGAATTTGGTTACCTTACGCTTTATTCGGCCAGTGATGGTAGTGGGGGCGGTGCAGAAATCGGGTGATGGTTGGATCTCGGCCCAACGTGGCTGAAGAATACCGAGGTTGGCAGCTCGGGCGGGATGACGGGCGGTAGTGCTGCTCTAGACGGTGATCGGGCGGTCGCCAGGAAGGGAAGCGATTCTTGCAGCGTTGGTGGCAGTGATGGATGCGACGATGGTAGCGGCTATGGACCCAGCGCTCAACTGCGCTTGTTCACTATTCGGCGTCGTCGACCGCCGACGCTGTACCATGAGTGATGATAGCCTGGTGGATAGCGAACCAGCAGGGCGTGTTCTTGAACCGCCGGGAAGCCTGGCTACGGCGATGTGACCTTGGTTGTGGGGTCGCCCGGAGCCAGCAGAGGCCGACGCGGCCACACTGGTCGAATTGCTCCTGGAACTAACAGCCCGCGCTTTCACGGCAACGAGAGGCCAATTCTTGCTAGGCGCTTCGGTGACGACCCGACAAGCACAGTTGCTGAATCACTTTTTGTCGAAACGGGGGTTTTGATCCCGAAAACGTCTGGCTTTTCGCCAAATTTCATTCGTCCTCGGCAGAGGCTCGTCACTTACTGACTCGTCGCTCAGTCGGGATCTCTCTCCTCCGTTCTGCTTCGGCCAGTCGTTTGCGATCCTCTCCATCCGCCCACGATCGTAGGTAGCGTAGAGCACTATCAGCTACCTACTGCTATCAGACGACACACGCGATCCACACCGTCGGGCGTTGATCGCCCCCACTTCAAATCGACCGTTAGCTACACTAACAATTTTATTTACCCTACTCCCCACATCTAATGATGGAAAACAAAATGTTACCCGCCGGTAACATATCCCCCTCCGGTCAGGGAAAAAAGAAGCGTATACAATGGTTCTTTTTCTGTTCACTCTAAATACTTAACTGAAAAGAATACTTCTGCTATTATGGCGTACAATCGAGGTCAAACTCGGGGAAGAGATATGGACGGAACACCTCCTGCTCGGACCAACAATAATAATCGTCGAGCGCTATCGCGTCGGGATTACGAACGAATGAATACGTTCAATGAGAGTAGAAATACCGACACTGGAGACCAGTGGGAAAGGATTGCTGAGCCAGGCACTAAGCTCCAAGCTAGTGAGCCAAAATGGCGTCAAAACCAGCGAAAGAATCCAAAGCAAAAGGGACCAGGTAAACCAGCTGAGAAAATACCTGGCCGTTCTACTACTCAGACAGAGCCTCAGGATGAGGACTTATACACAGGAGAAGTCTTGGGTGCAGTCCCGGTTCGGCATACAGTGTGCCAGAACTACGATTTTGCCAGTTTTTCGACTGTACTCCGTGCAACATACGACCACTCGCGCACCTTGGAATCGCGTTTGGACCAAATGTGCCCGTTCCCTGTGTTCCAACATTCCATGGCCGTTTTATTGAATGCTAGAATCATGTCCATTCAGAGGAATGATCTAGCCCATCCATCCTTGACGAATAAGCAGGATGCACTGGAGGCTATCCGTGCGAAGGATATGCTTATTCCAAAGCCAATTTTCGAATACCTAAATTCCATTGGCCAGACACTGACTCCAACCGGAGACAAAGTGTTTTTGAACCTGCCGTCGGTCTCGATACCACAGGGGCCCATCGAGGATACGTGCAGCAGCGGTACGTTTGGACAGATTACCGCTGAAAACCACAATGTTTATGAGGCGAATTGGAGCCCATACGTAACGAAAGGATTTATTAATGCCACGTTACATTTTAACCAGGAAGGAGGAGCAGCCAATTGGATCCCACTCCCTGAAGCTTGGATCCCCGAAGGAGGGGTTGCAAATGAAAACTTGTTGGGATGGCAACCAACTAATTTAGTACATAGGAATGGATTAGCGAGGATGCGCGAATGTAGTTTCGCTAATGACGCAACGACAGCTGGAACGTTGTGCTACAGTCCTGAAGCATCAGCCCTTACATCTGAAGTGTGGTCCCAGATTAAGGGTGTTAAGACCGTAAATGCAGTTTTCGAGCATAAGGAGAACAGCCAAGACCCCAAGCTACTGGTCTAGAGCCGACGGTAGCTTCCAGGGTGGGCACACAAAGCCACAAAGGTTCCGGGTCTCAGGGCGTTTGGGCGAGGGAGACCTTTCGGATGTGAGGGGACCTAGAAAAATGCGAATTTGGTTACCTTACGCTTTATTCGGCCAGTGATGGTAGTGGGGGCGGTGCAGAAATCGGGTGATGGTTGGATCTCGGCCCAACGTGGCTGAAGAATACCGAGGTTGGCAGCTCGGGCGGGATGACGGGCGGTAGTGCTGCTCTAGACGGTGATCGGGCGGTCGCCAGGAAGGGAAGCGATTCTTGCAGCGTTGGTGGCAGTGATGGATGCGACGATGGTAGCGGCTATGGACCCAGCGCTCAACTGCGCTTGTTCACTATTCGGCGTCGTCGACCGCCGACGCTGTACCATGAGTGATGATAGCCTGGTGGATAGCGAACCAGCAGGGCGTGTTCTTGAACCGCCGGGAAGCCTGGCTACGGCGATGTGACCTTGGTTGTGGGGTCGCCCGGAGCCAGCAGAGGCCGACGCGGCCACACTGGTCGAATTGCTCCTGGAACTAACAGCCCGCGCTTTCACGGCAACGAGAGGCCAATTCTTGCTAGGCGCTTCGGTGACGACCCGACAAGCACAGTTGCTGAATCACTTTTTGTCGAAACGGGGGTTTTGATCCCGAAAACGTCCTCGGCAGAGGCTCGTCACTTACTGACTCGTCGCTCAGTCGGGATCTCTCTCCTCCGTTCTGCTTCGGCCAGTCGTTTGCGATCCTCTCCATCCGCCCACGATCGTAGGTAGCGTAGAGCACTATCAGCTACCTACTGCTATCAGACGACACACGCGATCCACACCGTCGGGCGTTGATCGCCCCCACTTCAAATCGACCGTTAGCTACACTAACAATTTTATTTACCCTACTCCCCACATCTAATGATGGAAAACAAAATGTTACCCGCCGGTAACAGCCCATAAAAAGGTCGTAAAAGATTCGATACGCGGTGGTACGGTCGAGTACCAATGAAGAACGGTATCGCAAAAGCAAGGCCACATTAATAGAACTAGGTAGGAGATGTTAAGGAAGGTTCAATAAATTACCCGCAAGAGGTAAGGCCGCGCGTACTCTGGGAAGTGCGCTGTTTAAGAATTGTAGAACGGGGTGATCTCACGCGTCGCCCGACTCCCGAAATTAGAAGAAAAGTAATTAAATTCGGAAACCAAATAAAACCGTATCGTCACTTAGGCGATAGAGCAAAGGCCATAGGACTTGTGCGTAGGGACTTGAGCGTAGGTGAATAAGACCCTTGCATAGATGCAAAAGCGCACATGCGCACGATGTACTGACGTCCAAATTCTAGGACCCCGACTCCTTATATAAGAGAAAATTTAAGAGAAATAAAATCAGTGTGTTTTTTTGACTATTCGTTCATGGGGCTCACTCATCCGAAACCCAATCGGTAAGTTATATCAGGTCTTGAGTCTGAATTGGTTAGCAATCCAGCCGAAAGATTGTATCCGGAAGCCCCTTAACTCGCCACCAACTAAATTTGGCAAGTGATACCGGACTCTCTTTAGGTGGAACCCAACCAATTGGAATCAATTACAGATTGTGGCAACTGGCCAGCAGTCTGGATTGAAGAGATCTGGTTAACTTGGAACTTCACGTATCCTTGAAGAAGGAAAACTCTGCTCACAAAACCTCACCATCCTAGCACACGTGAGCCGATTACCTTCGCATCGGCTTGGCAACCGTTTGAATCGTAACCCTAAACGATTCTCGCAACGGGAACCAAAAGACCCTCACGGGTGCAAATCACCAACCTAGTATCCCCAACTCCTGACCAAAACAAAAACCCAATCCCAATACGATCTCCAGAGAGCAACATGGTGGCTCCAGAGAGAAAACTTCCTCTACAGTGAAAGTTTAAAAAAGTGAACTCGAAAAAAGGTGTACTGGCGCCAAAAGACCAGAGTGAAGAAGTTAATTTAAAAGTGTAGAATTGAAAAATTGAAGCAAGTCCTCATGAAGGACTTAATGCAAGAAATTAATTATCTTGCCGAACGCTTCAGTGTAATCGACCGTCAGGTCAGTAAAGTGAAATCTTCCAAGGCCTATCAAGCCTGGATTAAAACGCCTCTTCCAGCAGGCGAGATTAGTCAGACCAGGGACTACAAAGTGACCCTTTGGAAGGGTACAGTTAAAGAAGAAAGATATAGTCCAGCTATATCTAAGTGCGTGGAAATAAACAAAAGGCCAAGTGCAAGGTTCGAACAGGCCAGAAGAAAACAGTTTTAGTAAACTGTTAGTTAAAAAAAAAACAATATCATTGACCCGCACAAGTAAAACCAAAGTGAAAGTTTTAAAAAATATATAAGAAAAACTCTGAAGAATAGTGTAAAACGAATACCCAAGGCAAGGGTATTAGGTAAGTCCCAATTAAGATTTCTTAAGTGACAAGTTATTAAAAAGATACTCTCGAGCGGTAGATCCGAGAGAAGTGAACCATAGTCTAACATTCATGACTCTAGTTTCATCAGCAATACGTCGCTGGTTCCATTTTTGTGACTTTAATAAGTCTTCATTAATTACGCCATCCTTGGTAAAGTAATTAACTATCTTCTCCTCATAATATGTTCGCGGAGCCACGGGAATTCCACGTGGATAGTCTTCTTGATAATAGGCGGCACTCCTTCGCCCTTCATTGTAATGTCGTGGATAGACGACACTCTCCACGTACCACTGAGACGCCACCCTGCAATATTGATATTGTGGATGAATTTGTTAATTCAGTCAGGAATGGGAAATCAATTTTGAATGGTATAGCGACACCAGCTTTTAAGACGCTGGATATTACCATTAGTGAAGAGATAACAAAGACGACTCTCACTACTTTTATATCTACGTACACAGAGTGTAATAATCCAGCTCCAGGTACAAAGCGTTTCCCAGCTGTGATGGAACCAATTGCCTGCGCTGATGACTATTATGCAGTTGGAAAGAAAGCCAACTGTGCAGTTACCCGGATCAGGGCTAGTGACACGGGATGTAGAGAACCCGCTCTTGTTGAATCTGTCACTATACCGGTTGCTATCGGATTACCGAAGTACTGCCATACAGGCTGTGGCTGTTTCAACTGCCATGCAAACAAGCACATTAATGATGGAAAGAAGCTCCGGAGTTTTCCATTCTCCGAAGAGCAGAGGAGGAATTATTCCAGAAAGCAGGAGTGGAATATTGTGCTTTTCGCTCCGAATGCGTCTGGAAAGACAACCGCTAGAATAGCTCTCCGTGAGCTCGGATTGTCTTGTTTTGAGCTTGATGATTTATTTGACTGGTTCAACCATGCCCCATTTTTAAGGCAATCAATAATGGTTACGTCAGATCCAAGCCACTTGAAATACGCACGGAACCCAATCGCTATCATTCCAACAGAAGGCGAACGGCTTCGGCGTTTTAAGTTCAGGAAGGAACTTAGACCGAACGTTAAATGGCGAGATACTCTCAGTTTGCCCTCCAATACTAGAGTAATACAATCGAACAAAATGCTTACTGACTTGATACAAGTAAGTCTTTTTGGTTAATGCCATATTCGGTGAATGATGCATGTCGTTTTGGATCTCCAACGACAGTGACAATTGTGTAATGTAGGAACTCCACCCCATTCAGAAGAATGGTTTCTTTTGGCGCCCGAATAGGGACATGAACCCTAGACCGTTGGATCTAAATAAAATAAAATACGTAGTGAAAAATGGAGACACTGAGGACCCGTCGTCAAGAAATGCGAAGGTGTTGACTTCACCATATTTCCCGTAAAGCGTGACAGGAAGTACTCGGAATAGTGTGAGTGGCGCTGACGTCTGGTGGATTGTTACCGTAGCATTCGTCATCTGTTCGGTTGCCCTTGAATCCGCCGATGGCTCGTAGTGCAGCAGGCGATGATGTAACTTCTGGCAACCGTTGACTCCGCAGGCGTCCCCTTTACACGGCCAACGAAGATGTGGCTTCAAACATCGTCGACAAAGTTTGTGCTCCTTCACAATGCTCCAACGATTGTCGAGAGTAAGCCCCTTGAACTTAGAGCACTCATCAGCCTGATGATCTCCCGCATTGCACGCTGGACATTTCTTGAGTTCCTCCGTTTTCTTGCCGCTCGCGTTCAAAAACCGCTCCTTTCCCGCATTCCTATTGCCATTGGTCACCGATGTTGATCCATCTCGCTCCGTAGTGGTGTGCGCATTCACGTAGGCCTTTTCCTTCGCTCTGGTACGGTCATCCTTCGGATGCTTCTGCTGAATACAAGATAGCGTTACGCTGCTGGTTGCAGATGTCACACGGGCCATATACTCGCTGAAGACGTTGAGGTCTACCATCGGAAACTGCTGCTGATACATCGCCCAGTTGAACTTAACGTTCGCTGGCAACTTGTCGACAAGCTCCTGTAGCAATGTGGGATTCGATAGATGCCAGTCCAGTCCAACCGCCTTCAGATGTCCGCACAAATTCTGCACTTCCAATCCGAAATTCACCAGTGTCTCGAGCTTGTCCGGTTTTGGAGGGAAAACCTTGGCTGGGACGAAAAGATTCCATCGGAGATATTCTGTCGCTGGAATCAATGGTTGAAGGTACTAAGAGAGATGACCAAGGTGAAGATCAGCCGTTGCTATTTTCCGGGATACGATCCTGCCAGCTACGATTCGCTCCAGCTACACATTTTCGTCGATGCGAGCGAACAGGCCTTCGCTGCGGTCGCATACTTCCGAATCGTCGACAGGGGAGAGGTTCGATGCACCCTTGTCTCATCGAAGACCAAAGTAGCGCCCCTGCAAACACTTTCGATGCCGCGACTAGAGCTTATGGCGGCCTTAATAGGAGCTCGTCTGAGGCAAACCATCGTAGATCATCATTCCGTGAAGATAACACGCACCTTTTTCTGGAGTGATTCTACAACGGTAGTCGCTTGGATTAAGTCGGACTCACGTCGCTACCGCCAATTTGTCGCCTTTAGAGTCAACGAAATCCTGAGTTTGTCTGCGGTGGATGAATGGAACTGGATCGGAACGAAAACCAACGTTGCTGACGAAGCAACAAAGTGGGGCAAAGGGCCATCAACCGAAATCGAAAGCCGCTGGTATCGTGGACCTGCATTCCTGTACGACCGAGACGGTGAATGGTTAGAAGAAAACGTGGAAGATACAAACGAAGAACTTCGACCAGCATTCGTCTGTCCGCATTTCATCGTCAAGCCAACAGTCGAATTTAAACGCTTCTCCAAGTTCGAGCGTTTGAAGCGGAGCGTTGCGTATGTTCATCGATTCATCGACAATCTTCGTCGAGCTTCCAAGGGAACTACTCGAGAAACAGCTGTAGAGCTAAACAGAGATGAGTTACAGAAAGCGGAAATGACTTTGTGGAAGCTGGTACAATCGGATGCATATCCGGATGAAGTGACAACGATGAAGTGTAACATGGATCCGGGAAACGAAGAAAAGCGATTGGAGTGTTCGAGTAAGATTGCAAAGTTGCCGCCGATGATGGATGAGAACGGAGTCCTTCGTGTAGACAGTCGGATCGGTGCGGCGGAGTATTTGTCGCTCGACGCAAGATACCCAATCATACTACCACGAGAACATCGCGTGACGGAGCTCCTGCTGGATTGGTATCACCGAGAATTTCGCCATGCTAATGATGAGACGGTGGTAAACGAAGTTCGCCAAAGGTTCTACGTAGGCAAGTTGAGAACATGCGTACGAATGACGAAGACTCGATGTACGTGGTGTCGAGTGTACAAGTCGGTTCCAGTGACGCCGAAGATGGGACCACTACCAACCGTGAGATTGACGACACATGTCCGCGCTTTCACTTTCGTCGGAGTCGATTATTTCGGGCCGTACTTAGTCAAGGTTGGACGGAGCGTGGCTAAACGTTGGGGAGTGGTATTCACGTGCTTGACAATAAGAGCCATACACATCGAGGTAGCAAGTAGCCTGACATCCGATTCATGCAAAAAAGCATTGCGTAGATTCATCGCTCGACGTGGAGCGCCGCAAGAGATTTACTCCGATAACGGTACAAATTTTGTTGGAGTCAGCCGGGAGTTGGAAAAGGAAACGAAGGAGATCAATGCGGAGTTGAGTAGCACGTTCACGGACACTTATACGCAGTGGAGGTTCAACCCACCCTCAGCGCCACATATGGGAGGCTGCTGGGAACGGATGGTCCGGTCCATTAAATCGGCTCTTGGAGCGATTCCTTCGGAGCGTAAGCTGGATGACGAATCGCTGGCAACACTCTTCGCTGAAGCTGAGAAGATGATAAACTCGCGGCCGTTGACTTTCGTTGCTCTGGAGACTTCAGACCAGGAAGCGATAACTCCAAATCATTTCCTGCTGTTAAGCTCAACTGGGGTTCAGCAACCGATTAAGGCCCCGGTTAGTGAAGGAGAGTCGCTAAGAAGCAGTTGGAATATGATGCAGTACACGCTGGACAACATCTGGCGAAGGTGGATCACCGAGTACCTGCCGACGATAACCAGGAGGACTAAGTGGTTCCAAAATGTCAGGCCGATTAAAGAGGGTGAGTTGGTAGTCATAGCGGATGAGAAGGTCAGAAATAGGTGGTTGAGAGGTCGGGTGGTGCGTACGTATCCTGGTAAGGATGGGACAGTGCGACAAGCTGAGGTGATGACTTCGGGTGGCATACTACGAAGGCCTGTCGTCAAGCTTGCACTACTGGATGTGGAACCGGAAGATGACGCCTAGCGGAAGCTGAGGCGACATGAGGGGGAGGATGTTGCGTGCAAGCCCCTCGGACAAGTGAGCCAAAAGGATGACCCAACCGGTACAACGAACGAACGTCAGATGTAGGGAGTAGACATAGGTCTATTGTCTATTGTCTGATTGAAATTTGTTGATATTGTATGTGAAGTGAAATACTCGAGTGAGGAGAGAAAGAATTTACCCGAATTTCGTAAGATTATTTACTAATTTGTTCCTATGAAATACCTTAAAACTATTGAATTTACAGACTAAACCTACAGATTAAAACTAGATCTTAAAGATCCGTATATTGTTCGCACCTAGAATTGTTTGGGCACTAAATTGTAAGTACGAATTTGTTGAACTATTCAAGCTGGTTAATTAATCAATAAAATTTACAGCTTGAGCCTGTCTTGAACCATAAAAGGACTTTGCTTCAAGAATCCCTAACGTTGCGAACATCGACAGTTACATTATGAATCTACCATTATTCTAAAAGCTAAATAGCCACAAGAAACTTCTGATTTAAAAACCGCCACAGCCCTGGTCCAACCATATGATGGTTCACCAGGTACACTTGACGCGTTCACAGACTCAGTGGCCTTATTAAATGAACTTACAGCAGCAGCACATACAGCTGTAGCTGTTAAATTTATAAAAACAAGGCTTAGTGGTAGAGCTCGTTCAGCTCTACCTGCTAACGTCAATACTATCGATGAAATAGTACAGGCAGCGAAGCAACACTGCACGAGCACCGAAACACCAGATTCGGTGGTTGCAAAAATTAAGGCATTGAAAACGAACGGCGACCAAGACAAATTTTTACTCAACATTGAACAACTGACCACGCAGTTAACTTCTTTGTATGTCAAAAACAACATACCGCTAGATGTTGCTACCAAGATGGCAACAAAAACAGGGGTCGAATCCATAATAAGCAAAGCCACCGATTCAGACACTAAGATAATTATGAAAGCCGCTAAATTTTCATCAATTCAAGAGGCTATCCAAAAATTTAATGAAACAGCAACAACTCCTACAGCACAAATCTTCAACGCTCAATTTCGGAAAGTAAACTCTCAGAGGGTACTCAGCTCGAGGAAATCAGAATAGCCGTTTTGGGTATCGCAACGCAAACAATCGTCAATTTCAACATGGGAATCAACACCAACCTAGATATTTTAATCAGCGTCAACATTCTCGTGGGAATTACCACCAAGGTCGTGGTAATTATTCAAATCAAAATCGAAATCATTATCGAAACCAAAATAACAACCAAGAGAATGCGCGTATATTTTACACACCAGCTGAATTACCGCATTACCCATTCAAACGGAATGGCTGCAAAGTTTATTTTCAACCGAAACATGCCACGAAGAGAAGCCTTCTCCTAACATGGCGACCGTGACAGTTATCGATAGTGAATTATAAGTTTCCAGTGAAAGTTGAAGTAAAAATTGAAAATGGGCAAATCCCAATCAAAAATCGTTTCTAACAGCGGTGATCGGCAAGTTAATATTTTAAATCAACTCGCAGTGCACAGTGATAAGCATGAAAATCACGAAAAAAATTTAATAATCATCTTCGTGTTAGTGACGGTGCAACAATTAATAACTTTGTACGGAATGTACAAAAATTACACAAAAGTGCAAGCATTAAAAGCGGCAAAGTCAGTTGCCACACTTCATAATGTTTCGTGAACGTTAATGAACAACAAAGTGTTAAGTAAGTGACTGCACCATATTATGTTTAAAGATGAGTGAATCGTGGGAAGAAATCAAGCAGCAAATTAGTGCTCAAATTAGTGCGTTAAAATTTATTGAGAAATTTGGTTTCCGTGAATACTATCGAGTGAACCAAACCAGAAGCGTGTATAATAGAACCATAACCTTTGTTCTAAAACAAGGTATGGATTGGAACAGTTTCCGTGAATCAATCGATGCGTATACAGACAATTACATAGAAGCAAATAACAACAAGTGAAACTAGAAAAAAATTGATTGGTATTTACCAGGCTTGCTTCCACTCACTTGCTATAAAAAAATATTTTTCGGAATTATGAAATAATTAGATATTATAATGATAGTTAGTAGTTGTAAGTCACAAGATAAGGTTGTAAACTAGATGTTTGACGCATAAAACCTGTCATTATTGCTTTCAGTGCGTCACAATCAGCGATTTAACGAATCGTGAGCGCTCACTCTGAGTGAACGCTCACGAGTCATAAATTCGCTGATTGTGACGCACTGAAAGCGAAATTGACAGGTTTTATGTGTCAAATACATACCTTCCAACCTCTTCTTGTTTCTGACAAGTACAAACTTTCATAATAGCATCCAATGATTCCATAACTCCGAAAAACATTTTTTATAGCGAAGTGAGTGGAAGTAACCCTGGTATTTACCAAAGAACAACTGCAGGCGAGCCCACTATCTGAGGCCGATAGGCGGGTCTACGAGGGAGGAATGAGGCAAGGACCTGTGTAAGCAAACTTACCGACATAAACTTTCTCACAGTACAATCTTTCTCATAAAGCCTACATTTCACATCGTAAATTTCCTAACACATTCTTTAAACTCAACCATTTCCCACCAGAACATCAAGTCCATGTTCCCATCCTAATTACAACATATTAACCCGTACCCACGGACAGTTCCAATCATTCATACAAAGCAATAAACCTCAAGTAGCACAACAGCACTTGAAGCTAAGAACTGAAGAACATGCAAAAAGTGTCCTATTACCACACCGCTAACACAGTTCCATTCTCGAGAAATGCATAGCGCAAGCGACTATGACAAGTCACTCGCGCTAGGGCTAGGGCACTCACTCTCTCTATGTTTACATTCTCTATCTTTCTATCATCCCCTCCATGCACCATCCATCTAAATGCTAGAATCGATTATGTACCGATCAGAATGCTAACTTCTGATTGGTCAACATTTTACCGAACGCTAATCCACGTTCCTCAATACATAGATTTAAGATACTCGTTGTAACTGATATAAAACTAAAACGGAAATAAATCGACGGCAATTCTGGATTTCTTTTCAAACCTAAAAGGTATGACATTTATTTATACGAAACAAGCCTTCTCCGTACATGGCTGACCGTAGACAGTCTAAGTCTAGGTTCAAACTAGATTTAGAAAAATAGTAAAAAAAAAAAAATTTAAAAGAAGTGATAAAAAGTGACTGTGAAAACTTAAAAATGGGTAAAACACAATCGAAGAGTGTTTCTAATTCTGGAGACCCACAAGTGAACGTTTTAAATCAGCTTGCAGTGCACAGTGAAAAACATGACGAGCATGATAAATTGCTCATAATTATACTTGTGATAGTGATTATGCAATTGGTGATCACTGCGTACACGATGTACAAGAGTCACTCCAAATCACAAGCTCTGAAAGCGGCAAAATCAGTAGCCACAATTCACACCGTATAAGGTAAAGTGCAGTGAAATAAAGACAAATAAAGTTCGTGTGCTTCTAAAGTGTGAACTCTAGTTAGATGAGTGAAACGTGGGAAGACATTAAGGCGCAAATTGACGCCCAAATAAGTGCGTTAAAATTCATTGACAATCACGGATACAGAGAATATCGCCGAATAAATCCCATCAGAAATAGATACAATAGAACCATGACCTATGTTCCGAAACAAGGCATGGATTGGAATAGCTTAAAAGAGTCAATCGATGCCTACACTGATGTTTGCATCGAATTTAAAGCAAAACAAAACGACAACGAACTAAAAAACGTTTAATAAAAGTGGAAAAAGTTAATGAAAATGAGGAAAAATTAAAAGTGGTATTTACCAACAATCAACTGCAGGCGAGCCCACTATCTGAGGCCGATAGGCGGGTCTACGAAGGACGAGAATACTGAGAGAAGACGTAACCGAATAAAAAGCTTCAACACAGGACGGCAAATGACGAGTGGATGAAAGGTACGACGATTAACGATACAAACATTTATATTTAAAATTTGAGATGTAATTATAAGATTATTCGATAAACTAATTACATTAATATTTTTATTAATGTTAGAACAACTTGAAATAGATGTTGTTACCTTAGTAAAATTATCTGATAATTTAAAAAAATCAATCAATACAGTATATAAAAGAGAGACTGTACAAGCAAAATTAGAATTTGCGACAGCATTATTCAACGACATACAAGAAACTTTGATTAGGAATCAAATATTCCCATAAAACAATTAGATTTTTTCATAAAAGCATCAAGAGAAGCGATTCATGAAATAACAGAAATTATAAAACGTAAACTCAGTAACGATTACAACAACGAAACGAAAATGGCTCAGTTTGATGTTAAAACGGCATCCAGCATACTTCAACCGTATGATGGATCGCCAGAAAATTTGTGTGCGTTTGTAGACGCAGTAAATCTATTAAAAGATTTAACTACTGCAAACCACCTTCCAATGTTATTGAGATTTATTAAAACGCGATTAACGAGTAAAGCTAGAGTTGGCTTGTTGGAGATTTATTAAAACGCGATTAACGAGTAAAGCTAGAGTTGGCTTGTTGGAGATTTATTAAAACGCGATTAACGAGTAAAGCTAGAGTTGTTATTAACAGCAAGCAGTGATGGAATTCTCACCAAAATATCATTTTCGCTTGCGATACGTTTTCTCTTGGGAACTTTCCCTCACTAGTTTCACACTCCAATATTTCCTGAGCGAACTTTCTGGGATGAGAGAATGAGATATCGCGAACTTTTTTAACTCGAATCACCAACGTGAGGATACGAAAAATATCAGATCATTTTTTCTCTCTATCTCTTTACACCACATTCGTTCTTGAAAATTGCACTGCACATTTCACAAGGGAAAGATTATAGACAGAAAGCTATCCCGAGTAAATCAATACAATCTCTAAAGACTGATAAGTCTGGTACCTGGCTGTCTACTGGCGCCTGTTGTTTAAAGTAGCCGTTATCAGGATGAACAGTTTTGTGCAACTGATTGCCCAATGCCCCAGGTTTCTGGCAAAAAAAATGAATGAATCAGCACAAGTGTCAACGCGACATTAACGAGGAACGGGGAGGGTAGTGTAAGATTTTGTGACTAGTAATTTTTATATTAAAACCGTTCCTCAGGATAGGGGGTTGCGGAAGGAGGAGCGCCTAATGTATCCTCATTTTCACGAAATACAGTTAATGCATGGCTCCTCTCATCACTAGTGTTCGTAATATCGTTCCTGTAAGCTATTATGCAATAATTATATGCAGGGGGATGGTTGGGAATATAGGTGGTGGTGAACTTTTTCACTGTGCTATTACCAGTGCTGTAAATTCTCAAAATCATTTGAACATTTTTGATGAAAATGAGAAAAGTAGCTATTCGCTATCAAAGGGGACCTCCTCCGAATGGGTGATATCAGTTGCGGTCGACATTCCGGCGAAAAAGCTAAGCCAACCCGACACCAACCTGACTTCTATCAAACCCCAACCCGATGTTGACCCAACATTGACCCGACATAAACCCAAAATTGACCCGACATTGACCCGACATTGGGTCGACATCGACCTTAAATTAGCCTTACATTGATCCGACATCGGGTCGACTTGTCTGTTCGGGACCATTTTCCTGGATTTCTTCCATACTCCACTGTCGTATATCAAATGATACTGAGTGACTCAATTGACAGTGACAATGAGCTTCGAATGAGAAAGGGGCTCTTCAAATTATGGTCATGTGAGAATTCGTTTACACAGAATTGATTGAATGGTTGTAGTGGTTCATCTTCAATCGAATGATATGAAAATTTACAGCACTGAGTTACAAGTATCTACTATTAGCTGGTTGCATTGAGAACTAAAACTATAAATAAATCCGGAAAACTTTGAGATTAGGGCGTAATTTCTTTTGTAAACACACACTTAATTCGCCGATTTCTCGTGAATTAAAGTTCAATCTAAAAAACTAACAACACAGACAGGTAGAGGAATGATTCATTTGGTATAGTATAGTTCGCTAGATTGTGCTTTGATTCGTGAGAAATCGCTGAATGACGTGTTTGTTTACAAAAGCAATTACGCCCAAATCTCAAAGTTCTCTGGAAATGGTATTTAATGTGAAGGATGCGAAAAATATCGGAGAACGAGAAGAAAACAAACAGACACTCTCGCATGATCATCGCCTACCTTTACTCGCTGGAAAAAAAGAACAAAGCTGAGGGGATATTTGGTTGGTTCGAATCACGAGTACGTGTGAAATGATGTGAGATGGAGGGACGAAAGATCTTTCGCGATACGAAATGAAAATTTCTCTCGCTCTACGCTTTCATGAACTTTTTTTCATCTTTCGTTCGCGAACTTTTTGTGAGAAGTTCCTTTGGGATTTATCTCTGCAATGAGCTGTGATAGAACTTTTTTTGAAAATGATTTTTCCAACACTGACAGCAAGGAGAAAACGTTCTCTAATTCGCTATATCACAAACCAGACCGGTAATCAACAGCAAGGAGGAAACGATCTCTGATAGCAATTCTTTATATCACAGACCGGACTGGTAATGGAACAGCAGCAGGCAGGCAGAACAAGCTTGCAAATACACCAACATTAGTGGACATAGGACGGCTCGCTGAATACTAAACAACCAACATCCGCTTAACCCTCCGTTGCGTTAAGCACAGAGGGAACACAGCATGAAAAAGTTGTAAGTCAAAAACTTCCTTTTACCATTAATGTGAAAAAAAAATAGTAACACAAAAACTTCCTTTTCCTAATAATGTGAGAAAGAAAAAGGAACAAACAAAACAAGAGAAAAAAAAATCTTTTTACAACAATTATGACATATACAGACCTCGAAAATGGTTTCAAAATTTTAATCACCGAGGCAAATAATCTAAAAAAAAAATCAATTAATAAACAATTTAAATTAGGCACACTGTATGCGAAGTTAACTCACGCTACAGAAACTTCTAATGATTTAGAACAGCAACTCTTAAATCAGCAAGATAACTTGACTGATGCTGAAATAACCTTT